GGCTACTAAGGTGGTCGCACTGAGGGTTGCTGAGGAGACAATGGTAAAGGCTATTGATGATACTTACACTATAAAAGAAATCTATGGGCCAAATGATAGCATTTGGGCAAAGCAAAAATAAAGGTTGTTATTAATGATAATGAAGGAGGTAGCTACGAGTGCTCCATATTTATGGATAGTTTGTTTAAAGAGAAACATGTTAATTTGCAATGATTATGCTTCCTAAGATTAATTATACTTTAGAACGTATTTAATAGACACTCTTAATAAATAAAATATGCATTTATTTTCATTTATACATATTAATAAAAAAGAAAGATAATGATTCAAAGATTGTTCTCATAGTGGTAGCCTATACTTAAAAAATGATCAATCCATCGGGTAGAGAGTGAATCACCATAATCGAGTTAGATGATTGCTTTAACACATAAAAAGCTTATATGATAAGTGTTGCGTGCTAGAAAACTCACACTAATTGAGAGAATGTTTGTGTTCTGACTTTTCATGAAGATCTAACTTGCAAACACAAATAACCAAAAAAATATAGTAGACATCATAATTTTCATGTAAAAATCTAGAAAGTGAAAAAAAATCATAGGACTTGGCCCAAATAAAATGATCCACCATAAAGAAAAGCTGCAAGAGTTCTCCTTTTTCATCAATTAGAAAATATAGGATTACATATTATTTAAAACTTTTTTATAGTTTTATGAACGTAAGTGAGAAAAATGGAGGTGCAATAGATGGATAAGGTTATTCATGTGACAATGATCAAATTTCGATGGCAATGTCACAATAATTGGGAGATGATGATCAAGTGATAATAGCAATATGATAACAATTGAACGATGGTAAATGGATTGTGATAATCATGCAATGATGGTCAGACAACAACAATTAAATGATGGCAATCAAATGATGATAGTTGGGGGATATGCTAGTTAAACGATGATAGTTGGGAGATGACAATGGCTAATGTTGATTATTGGCATTGGACATCAAGTAGAGCTGTAACATTCTCTAGATTTCTAAGCTTTTGTAAACTTAAGTTTAAGTCTCCTAAAAATGATATTATTTTGGGAGTGATATTTTGATAAATTTAATTGCTTGTTTATAACAGACCATTGGATATCTCATATTGAACCCTTTGATTATAGACCATTCATTTAGCATTTAAGTTCCTTAATGATCTTAGAATCAACTGGTCTTAGGCTTATTAGATTTGTTTCATTAATTAACCTGCTCAATTTAATTATAAGCAAACAAATTTTGATGTTTGTTTGATCCTACAATCAAGCTCCAAAAAATTTAACTTTATTAATTTTAACTTCTTGATTTGAGATCATTTGGACTTGGATCATACTACTTTTTGTGTTACTTGATTGTAAGTTTGTTTAAATTAGAGTTTAAATGATTTTAAATTTAATTCTAAATTTTTTTAATATAAATAATTCATTAAAAGAATGAAGTATGGGCTAATACAATTGTCCGATTTCTATGTACATCCTTACAAGAAAGGAAAAAACTTTGGAGTCTATATCACTATAACCAAGAACTCTTAAATCTATATAAAAATAAAATTCATAAAATGACACAAGTATTAGTGATCCCTTTGCTTGTGATCTTTGCACTTGATTCATGCTAAATTCAACTATCTAATCGATATTGGGTATGTGCTGATAAATATTTATGGTCTTCATCCTCATTGGTCATAGGTACTCCAGGATATGGATTTTAAAAGTATACTCAATCGAGAATCTTTGCACATACATTATTGCACAAAAAGAGCTTTCATAGATTAAATTTATAGACGTAACTCACCTCGGTATGTCTATTGGTTGGAAACTTTGGCTACCAACCAATAGCTTTTGGATTTGAATCTTACGTATGTGATGTGTGTGAGTTAATTTCCCTTAATTGGACTGAATGCCCCCCTAAAAAAATTAAAATTATAGTAAAAAAGAATGTACTTATGGGGTTATCATAGCAAAACAAAGTACAAGAATCATCCAACAAAATATCATATTGGCAAAGATGCATAATTTGTCATTTTTCATAATTTAATGCATAACCCCTATATAAAATAAAAAAGATTGTATGCCTAGCACTATAAAAATATCTCTATCATAATGTAAAAAACCTAACCAAACTAGCTATATGCCACTCATTTGAATTCTAAAAAATTGCATAACGAGTCATTTCATGTGCATTAATAAGAATTTTAAACAAATCGTCAACCTTGCTACACCATAATCTATGTTAAGTGTCTAAGGGGTTATGACCTATCATAGTACATAAAGTGTGGGCAATAAGAATATTCTCATATGATTGTAATGTGTTGCTAAGCTAATTCAACTCAAAGATCCAATCAAATTGATGCTATCACCTTAACAATTTTGGAATTTTAAAATTAAATATTAAAATAGAATCGATAATGTTGAAAATTTTTAAAATAAATAGACCATTTATAAATTTTTAAAGATATTTTAAGATACTATACTGTAGATTATATATTTGTATTCATGAACAACCATATGAGGTGTAGTTATGATAGGATGATTATCATTATTAGGTGAATCATTACCAAATAATGATATCAACATATTGTAGCCACAATCCAAGTCTTTAAATTGCAGAGTTGATCCACCTAGTCAAGTGCTAACTAAACTCATAAATATGTAAAATCCAATAATATAAGGGGAGATAATTGAGATCATTAACTAGTAAGCTTAAGATTCAAGTATTCAAATGGGACACAAACACTTGAAATATAGAAAAGCTCTAGACATTCAATAAAGATTTAAATATTCAAATTACAAGAAAAGTTTTAGTAAAGATACTTGAAAGGGAATTGATGATTTGGGTATGATTGTACAACCAAAATAAAAAAAATTAACCAAATGATAAAAATTAATAAATGAATGACTCAATCAAAAATTTATGACTTAATCAGGATAGAACTTAACCAAATGTGAATGGTTATAAGATATTCCTAAAAATAAAGTCACTAAGTAAAAGAGTAGTAAGGACAAAAAAAGTATGACCCTACGAATAAATGATTCAACAAAAAGAAAATCGCCAAAACTTCATTTGGGATGGCTTTCTTCTTGCTTTTTAAAATAATTTTCTAATACACAAATTTCTTGAATTAAAAAATTTTTGTATTAGAAAGTAGTACTAAAGCTGTCCAAAATGAAGCCTAAGTAGTAAGCATAATCAAATGGGTATAGCTAGAGTGGGTTGAATTGGTCCAAAGTATATGACAAAATCATATTAGTATAACAAAAAAAAAAGTATGACTATACTAAGGATGAACTTGGTCAAAAGAGCATGACCAATCTATGGTGTTTCCTAACCAAAAGAGAATGAATTAGAAAGTGGGAGAATGGCTATACTAGGAATGAATTTGTCCAACCAAAAGACAATTATCAGTAAAAAGATGCATGAACTGAGAGTAAAAAAAAATCAAAAGATATGATTATAATATAGATAAATCTAACAAAAATTTTATTTTCTGAAAAGTTATTGTAACATACAATATCATCAAGGCCTAAGAAGTGCTAGGGTAAACTATCTTTTATCCTAATATAAATGGCCCCCAACCACCTAGCCCACCAATAATGGCAAATCAACAAATTTGCTTAGAAAATACAATATAGTGATTAACCCATATTAGTCATGCACAGTATTCTAAAAGAAAATTTGTAGCAAAATAACTTGCACTAAATTAAATAAAATTTAACTTTTGATATTTTGAATTTCACAAAATGATTTTGAGAAATTTTCAGGATATTCCCAAATCTATCAAATGGTTGACATTTAGAACATTCCACCGAACTTGATATATTTGTTATGAAAATTGCTATTTACTACACCGGGCTTAGGTGGGTTGGTGGGCGTGCTTGGTTGGCTAATCGAGTGGCCCCCTCATTGCTACCTCCAATTTGTCATATGCGAAAAGGCATGACCCCAAGGGGTGGTTAGTTTCATCTCCAATCATTTTAAGGGTATATCAATACAATGCAAATCTAATAGTTTTATATTGAAATCCATGCTTCATAACTCTTTTTTTTTTAAATTTTAAATGTCCCAAATTGCAAGTTTAAAAATACCTTTATTGTTTATGTCTGAATTTTTATTTGCCAAGGGATTGGAAATTCGTCATACTTTTTATTCAAAACTTCATTAACCATGACCCTACAATGGACAATCAACATGAACATCCATCAAGAAACTTACTTGCTTCATTTAAAATAAATTTCTAACTTTTTCTTAAAACAATTTTATAATATAAAATTTACTTTAAAAAGCATTAAAAAAACTACTCCAAACGAAACCCTAAGCTACATTTAAGACGTCTTTCTTACTGATAAATTTTTTTTAATTTTTTTATTAGAAAACTTCTTTTAGTAAGGAAGCCATCCCAAATGAGACCTTAAGTTTCATCTGAAACAACTTTATTACTGTTTTATAAAACAACTTTTCAATACAAAAAATTCTAATTCAAAAGAAAATTGTAAACTAAAAAGCTAATTTAGAAAAACAATAAAAAACTGGTCTCAGATGAAAGCCTTAGATCTGAGTTCTTTTCATCAAAACCATAAACTTTCTATTGCAAAAGTCCAATAGAAAGGGTCCTCTTAGTGCACCATTTTTTATGAGTTCAAATGACTGAGTTATTTGAGGCATCAATGAGAAACAAACGGCTCATTAAGTTTCATAAAATATTAAGATGTTTGCCTCTGGCCATGTTTTTGCACGTCTGCTTTTGATACTACGATAAGCTTTAAAGTTTCATGTTTCCAAACCTAAAAAAAAAAAAGCTTTCGCTTGTCAAAATTAAGTTTGGATAGCTGAGCATAAGCCATTACCAACCCATAGCCCCTAAAAAACCTAATAAAAACACCCTTTCAGGCATCCAGAAATAGTCGCACAGCCATTCCCACTACTTGGTATTGCCTGGTAAACTGAACTACATGCAAAATTAAGCTGTTGCAGGATGAACTGGAATTAAAAATGGATTGCGCTTCACCAATTAAAATAAATAAAAACTGAATTTTACGATGCAAAACATGTAGAGTGTATTCACTTGAGATCACACAACCTTACTGGCAGCAAGTCCAGGTGGGGGGAGCCTCAAGAAGGCTTCAACGAAGCATCCAAGTTCTCTCTTTGGCTCACAAGATACCATACAGCAGCCACAGCAATGTCAGTAACTGTATTTTCTTTCAGTGGTAAAAATGTTCATCACCTGGTATTCCGAGATTTCTCTTCTTTCCCTTCATACATGAATGAATAGCTCTTCCTTCTCATATTCATAATCCTTGTAACCTGAAAGTCGAATGAGATTATCTTCAGCAAAGCATGAAAATTTGTCAAAAAGGAACTCAACTTTCTAACGTGTACATCAGCGGCAAATTATTTGGTGCAGCAGACAGAAATCCGGATGATTCTCTCTGTCCGGTGTACGCACCTAATAATTTCTCGTACATCAGCTAAAGCAGCGAGGAAAGACGTTTTTTTTTTTATTTCTTAAGAAATGAATGAACTATTAGAACAAATTAGCTAAGAGTGAGATAAAATAAATTATTAAGGTAAAAATGTCTTTTATATAAAAAAAAAGTGATAAAAATGAATACTAGTTGAATTTATAATAATGAAGGCGGCAAGAAAATATCAAGTGAACAAAATGTCAGAAGGAAATTAAAAAAAAAAGTCTTTATTCAAGTCATGAAAGACAGCATTCTTTATAGCATCAATGTTATTAGCAGGCTATAGTGCTATTAACTGTTTGCACATTCAACTCTTTTATAGCCTCTTCAGCAAATGGACCTGCGATAGTTAATTTTTCATTGACATAATTAGCCATCATTGGCGATGTTGTGGTCCATAATATCAAAAGTTGATCTCCAAAAGCAAATTCTTTGATCTCAAGAGAATGGCCAAACCATTTTAGAATATTGCTTGGCAGAAGTCCAAGAATATGGCTGGTTGTTATGAGCAAAATGTCAGACCATCCATTGCACGAATGCAATTATAATCATAGAACATATACAACAACAACAACAACCACAACATCAAGCTTTTGTCCCACTACGTGGGGTCGGCTACATGAATCTTTTTTCGCCATTGTGTTATGTTAAAAGTCAAATTCTCATTTAAATCTAATAAAGAAAGATAATTTCTAATATTTTCTAACCAAGTTTTTTTAGGTCTATCTCTACCTTTCTTAACATAAGACAAATCTAATACCTCAACTGTTCTAACCTGGTCATCTGAAGGGCTCTATTTAATGTGACCAAACCATCTAAGGCGACTCTCTCTAATCTTATCTTCCACTGGAGCTACTCCAACCTTTTTACGTATATGCTCATTCCGTATCCTATCTCTAAGGGTAAAGCAACTCATCCACCTGAGCATCCTCATCTCTACAACACTTAACATAATCATAGAACTTAGAGTGGGAGAAAAATTATTCTCCCCTAAAGAATCGTGACATTGTCAGAAGGAAGAGAAGTGAATACTTCTTGGGTCTCAACAACTTGAGGTGTGCTACACAGGGGTTGAAAAAGGTGAGTGTTAATGTTGGGTATCAAAGGAGACTTAGAAAATCTGAGAGCTGAAGTTTCGACAAGATGCAAGCAGCTAGTAGATATATAGGTGGCAAAAAATGGGAGAAATCAATTAGATACATAGCCTCAATTGCTCCTTGTACAAGGTTATAAAAGATCCGATGAAGGGGCGGATCTTGAGGATGGATATAGCAACAAGGGGCAGATGAATGGTAGAAAAATAGTTAAATCAAGTGGAGAAAAAATACAATTTCTTGGGCCTCAGCGAATGGGATCAAACAAAGTCGGCAACGGGGAAGTAGAACTCGATGAAATGCAAAGAATAACTTCACCGGAAATTGGTACCTATGGTGAGTCTCAATAGATTTGGGCTGGATTGGGACGATGTTGGATTTGGAAGGCAATGGATCTAAAAGGTGCATTAAGTAGAGGCAAATTCAGCAGGTGAGGAATACAACGATTTGTAAGACGCAAAAGGGTTGGATCTAGAAAGAGACAAAATGAAGGCAAAGGGAGGATCACCCAGCAATATTTCTCAACAAGAATATCAATGATAGAATCATAAATCCAATCCAAGCATTTTGAGTCACTCAAACTCCAGAATTTTATGGGAAAAAATAATAACTAACAAGAGAGGAGGGAAACTTGATCTATTTATTACATATCATCATCTTCCCTAATTGAGAGTATTTAGAGAATACAAAACTAATCCAAATAGCAATTAACTAACCATCATCACTAATGCCAAATGCAGGTATGGTTTCGACGCTAGCCAACTTCGAAGCATCCTCACCATGAAGAATTGTTTCCTCCTTGAGTCCTTGTCCCTATTAGACTCATAACAGAAATTTTGATATTGCTTGTTTGCAAGGTATTAAATATCATAAATATAACAAGATTAGGTTAATATTGTTTGCTTGATAGAATATATACAAAATAGCTGAGATGTGAAAAAAGATATCTAAAACTTTTGATTAGATTAAAAACATTATAATTATAGTAAGATCCTAATTAAAAATAAAATGGAAATACTTTTTTTTTAAATCATTAAATTAGAGTTTTATGAAAGAAATCAGTTGAAAGAGCATAATGAACAAAAATAGGAGATATATCAATCTCAAAAAAGTGAGTTAAATTAGGTCTAAAAATATACATAAAGTTAAAGCTTTCAATGCCAATAAGAAAACTAATGAGCTTTGGGAGTGATCTAACAGTGGTTACATCAACAGCATTGTCAGTGGAATTTTAAAAGATAAGAGAATGGCAAAGATAAAAAATTTTAAGCAAAGGACTATCAACTCCTAAATTTTTTATGCAAAAAAAAAAATCATGCAAGGAATATCAACTCATAAATTTTTTATGCAAAGATTAAAATAAAAAAATTTAAGGAACATCATATGATGTGTATTAATTTTAAAAAGTCCTATGATTGAGCACCAGAATTTCTTTGGTGTGTCAAAGGAATGTTGAATTAACTATTATAAAAATATTAGGGAGTTGCCAAAGAATTTCTAATTATACCAGATTCACATTTTATTAATTATAAAAATGTTTATAAAAATATTATGTATACATTTTTATTAGTAATAAATATGTTTATAAAAGACATTCAAAGTGAAATGTTTAATATTAACATTCAGTGGATGAAGTACATCTAATCAGTGATATTTCTATTGAAATAAATAAAAAAAGTTGAATAGAGAAAATATTTAGAAGATAAAAGGCTTAGTATTAATAAAAAAAAACCAAATAGATGATATATAATTTTAATGGGTATAAAATTAATAGTTATCATTCAATACTACTAAAAGATAAAATTGTATCTAAGTGTGCTATGTTAAAAAAAATCTTAGAACTATAATAATAATAATAATGCATGAGAATATGGATCAGGATATATCTTTCAAAATTAAAGTTGGACAACTGACATGTAAAAATGCTTAAGTTGTATAATGTGATAAAAGAAAACATAGAAGTTTAAAATTAATTTATAAAATTATAATTATGCTATGTAGGTTGTCTGGATTTCAATTGGGGAGTATAGAAGTCTATGATAGCCAACTTAAGTGTGTTAGAATTCAGAATGAAAAAATAGATGTTTGGGTTGTGATAAAATCATAATATATAAACTGAGGAATGATCATATTAAGGGAATGAGTAGCATCTATTGAAGATAAGGCAATAGAAAATAGACTTAAGCAGTTTAAACACGTACAACAAAAGGTAAAAAATGCTTCATAAGAGATGAGCAAATGAAGAGTAAAAATTCATAAAGCGGACCCAAAAAATTTGATAGAAGGTTGTTATTGTTGATGATGATAGTAAATACCAAGGAAAAAAATGATATATGTAAAATTAAAGATTAATTTAAAAGTATTAAGAGTTAAGATGAATGCATCTAAAGGGAAGTTATCATGAAAAGAAATGACATTCAAATATATGAAAAGAAATGACATTCAAGTATTAAATAAGCGACTTAAAGAATAAATATTTCAAAGTATAAAATAAGCGAAATTATGAAATTTCATATAAATTGCTCCAAAGAAGTGAAAAAATTGAAAGTCTAAAGAAATTGAACAAAGTAAAAAGCATTAGATACAAATGAGAACATATCTGAAATCCATAGGAGTTGAAGGAGATACTGGAGTAATTGGCTAACAAATCTTTTAAAGGGCTTTATAAAACTAAAAAAAAAAATTAATGATAGAAGTGGCATGATATTAGCATTTAAGAATAAGAAATGCATATGACTATGATAAATATAGGAAATTTAAATTTATGTCATATAATAAGATTATGAAAAAATGCATTCACAAATAAGTTTTACAGATCATAATAATATACGAGAATCAATTTGATTGTAAGCACAGAGGATCAACATTGGCCACTTTTGTGCTAAAAAAAAGGAGCACGAAAGGACATCTATATCAACTTCATTGACATTTAAAAATATTTGATAAGGTGCCACAAGGATTGATTTGGTGAGCATTGAAGGAGAAATGTGTTAAGCATATACTTTAAACATTTATAAGATGAAATAATGATAAGTACTAAATGTGATTATGAACTAATAGTGTTTCAAAACACAATAAAAAAATGATTACATTGGTAAATTTTGTATTGATTATGAAGAAATTTGAAGTCAAAAGCTTAATTGTTAGGGGTGTCAATATTGGATACGACCCGAAAATCCAACCCAAACCTGACCGAAAATTTTAGTTTTGGGTCAACTCATTTGAAAAACATATCGGATTCGAGTTTCAAATCCTGACCCGATTGTAAATTCAGGACGGCTTCAGGTCAACCCGAAAATCCAAAATCAACTCAGAAGCATGGTTTAAAAATTGCGCAATATGAGGCTCGCCTTGAGGCCCGCCTTTGCGCAATTCCAGTAAAAAACGCCTCGATACTTATGCATCGAGTTTTTTT